GTTCCGGGACCAAAGAACAGCAAAAGCACCTATTACCAGTCAAGTATTTAATTTGTGCAGACTGGCAAAAACAACAACTTTCACTCAAGCTCATTACAACGCCGACTCTCTGCTGGCTTTTTGGAGCAGTTAAGGTAATGTAAGTAGACTCTAGTGACTGTGAAATTTAAATTCACTTCCTGTTTTTTTTTGTGTGTGTTTGTTTGTTTTGTTTTGTTAGTTTTTTCTTTTATAATTAAGTACTGGTAATTTCCATTAAGAGTGTAAAATTTTCACGGTTTTACTATTTCTAAAGGAATATAATAATAAACTGTGAATCTTTGAGGTTTATACTCATTTAGTTTTTGATTGTCATTTTTGAGTAAATTGTTGTAGTTTACATCAAAGTTCTTGCTCAATAATCCAGGTAAAAAAAAATCCAACAAAGTTCAGTCAGGTCATCTGGACCGTTTCAACATTTCGTTCTTCATCCAAAGGACTTCATCAGTCCGAGGAGCCATAACAAACTCAGTCCAGAAACCATCTTATCACTAGCAAACTGGTTGGTCCACTATGTGAGTGTGCTGCTTGTGGGACTGAGTTTGTTGTGGCTGCTCGGACTGATGAAGTCCTTTGGATGAAGGACGAAATGTCTCAAAAAAAAAAAAAACTGTCTCGATGACAGCTGTAGTTGTACATCTCCTTATACTTCTTTATATTTTGCATTTATTGTCTTTTTTCTTTTTGCCACTCTAAGTGGTTGGAACACTGAATCAACACATAGTTAATGAAGACTGTGAAACTTGGCGTTCATATTTAAAATGCCTTAATCTAGTGACCATTTTGAATCTGTAAGGCTATTTTGTTTTTGTTTCTGTCTTTAGGCTCTTAAACGTTTACATTTAATAATCTCCAGTTTAGGCCTTAAAGTCTTAAATATACTCAGATTTTACATTTTTCGTCTTCAAAAAGTCTTGAAATTTACTTGTTAAAATTTAGAGAAAACCTTTATACTTTATGTATATATTGCTTTATTTACTTTTCTGATGATGTTTTAATGGAAGTTGATCGTATTTCTCCAGTTTTAGTTGTTTTGAATTTGACTGTAGATGTTCAGAGTTAGCTTTGTAGTTAATTTTATCCATTAGGTCTTAAAGTACAAGTAGTTCCATCTAAATGTATTTGTCTCTTGGTAGTTGTTTACAGACTTATTGTGGTTATCATTCATTTTTTTATCTTTTTGGATTTGTGTGTGTGTGTGTGTGTGATTTGTTAGCCTGAAAAGAACAAGATCAGGGCAGTTTGTGCTTTCTATCAAGAGTCACAATTACACACTGCGTTTGAGCCGTTACAGGAGTTGGGGAAGTTTGTCATTTTTCTTATTTATCATAAATATTTATTACAAAGTGAAGTTTATTATAGTATTCTATTTTTTTTTTTATGGTAATGTGCAGGGTATGGTGGATCTGGCGCCTCAACCCACATATGTGCATGCCTGGGATATGTGTATTTGTAAGTGTGTGGGTACAAAGTAATACCGTTTTGTATCATTTAAGTACAAATTGCATCTGGATGACACAAAGTTCCAACTGCTGGGTATGAAGTGAGGGTATGATTTGGTGGAGGGACAAACTGATCAGAACCCCATGTTTCACACAGGACATGTTAAAGTGATGTCTAAAACTCTTTCTTTTCTGTCGCTACAAAGCTCCCAACACTTTCTATGTGCATTGAAACCTAACCTTGACCCCTCAGTCATGTCCAACTTCCGGCCTGTCTCCAGACTCCCATTCACCTCTAAACTACTGGAAAAAATTGTGGAGTCTCAGTTGAAACAGTTTTTGGGGGATCACGCTATCCTTGAGTTATTCCAATCTGGCTTCAAATCTCTCCATAGCACTGAAACTGCTCTACTGAAGGTTTTTAATGACATTTTCATTTCCACAGACGCAGGTGATTCTGTGCTGCTTGTCCTATTGGACCTTACATCTGCTTTTGACACCATCGACCACAATATCCTCATTTCTAGACTGGAGCAGTGGGTGGGCATCACAGGGTCAGCCCTTAAATGGTTTGGGTCCTACCTCTCTGACAGAACCTTCTGTGTCAATATCAAAGATTTTAGTTCGGCATCGACCGCACTCCAGTGGGGGGTACCGCAGGGGTCCATCCTCGGTCCCCTTCTCTTTTCTTTATACTTGCTGCCACTAGGTGCTATCTTCCGCAAACACGACATACCCTTTCATTTCTATGCCGATGATTGCCAAATTTACTTCCCCCTGAGGCACAGAGGCACACGCTCTATTCAGCCTCTTCTTGACTGCCTGGCTGACATCCGGGACTGGATGGCTTTAAACTTCTTAAGCTTCAATGAGAAGAAGTCTGAAGTCATGCTGTTCCATCCCAGTGGCTCACTCATGAACCATGACATTGACCTTTTCTCTCTAGCCGCGCTAGAGAAACAAAAGGTGACTAATCTGGGGGTGATAATGGACCCGTCCTTAAAACTCAACAGTCACGTAAACATGATGGTCAAATCCTGTTTTTTTCAGCTGAGACGGCTGTCTAAGCTGAAGCCTATACTCTCCAAAAAGAACCTCGAGACAGTGATCCACGCCTTCATAACATCTAGGCTTGATTACTGCAATTCACTTCTGTTTGGAATCAGTCAGTCCTCCATTGCTCGTCTACAACTGGTCCAAAATGCTGCAGCCCGATTTTTAACTGGTACAGGCTATAGAGAGCACATCACGCCAGTTTTGGCCTCCCTGCACTGGCTACCCATTCACCTTCGGATCCATTTCAAAATTCTCATGTATGTTTTTAAATCACTGAACAGTTCCGCCCCATCCTATCTCACTGATCTTCTGCAGCCATATGTCCCACCGCGCTCTCTGAGGTCAGCAGACCAGATGCTTCTCTCAGTTCCAGAAACCCGTCGTAAGCTCAGAGGTGACAGGGCTTTCTCTGTTGCAGGTCCACGACTGTGGAATGAGTTGCCACTGAGTGTCCGGCAGGCTCCCACACTCTCAGTCTTTAAGTCTCGCTTGAAGACCCACTTCTATTCGCTTGCCTTTAACACGGTGCGATTTGTTTTGGTCCGGTCTGTTCTCTACTCTGTTGGCCATTTTAGTTAGCTTCTGCTGCTATTTGTACCTGTATTTCTATTTTATGTTTTCCTGTCTGCTGTGCATGTTTGGTTCTTTTGTACAGCACTTTGGTTGGCCTTGTTGCTGTTTTAAGTGCTATATAAATAAATTGGTATGGTATGGTATGGTATTGTGTCTTTGCCGCAACCATCTGAAATGGATGTATGCATCAAGGGCAGAGAGCCCAAGCAGTTTTTCGCTATATTCCTGGCCTCCTGTCTCACCACAGTACTGAGTCTATTGAGGTTTTTTAAAATTATATATTCCTGGCCACAGATGCAAGTGACCCTATGCTTCTTGCCCTATTGGACCTTACATCTGAGTGTGACACCAGTGAGCATGAGATTCTCATTTCTAGTCTGGAAGAGTGGGTGAGCATTACAGGGTCGGCCCACAAATGGTTTAGGTCCTACCTCTCCGATAGAACCTTTTGTCAACATTAAGCATTTTATTTCAACACTGGTAGCTCTTCAGTGGGGGGTACCACAGGGATCCATTCTCAGACATCTTTTCTTTCTTTATACCTGCTGCCACTAGGTGCTATTTTTCGTAAACACAGCATCCCTTTTCATTTTTATGCCGATGACTGTCAAATTTACTTCCCTCTGAAGCACACTGGTCACGTTCTATCCAGCCTCTTCTTGACTGCCTGGTTGACATCAGGGATTGGATGGCTTTAAATTTCTTAAACTTTAACGAGAAGAAGACAGAAGTTGTTGTTTCCACGAAATGGCACAATCAGAGACAACTGTATCAACCTTTCCTGTCTAGCCCCATTAGAGAAACAAGTTGTCGCTGATCTGGGAGTGAAAATGGACCCTTTCATGAAACTCAACAGTCATGTAAACACAATTGTTAAATCTTGTTTTAATTGTTGAATCTTGTTTTGTTTTGTTTTTCTCAGTTGAGGCAGCTGTCTAAATTGAAGCCCATACTGTCTAAAAGTAATCTTGAAACAGTAATACATGCTTTCATAACATCCAGGCTTTATTACTGCCATGCACTTCTTTTTGGAATCAGTCAGACCTCTATTGCACATTGACAACTGGTTCAAAATGCTGCAGCCCGATTCTTAACTGGTACTGGAAAAAGAGAGCACATTTCTCCAGTTTTGGCTTCCATTCACTGGCTCCCAGTTCACTTCCAAATTCATTTTTAAATCCTTTTGTATTTCTGCCCACTCTTATCTCACTGATCTGCTGCAGCCATATGTCCCACTGCGCTCTCTGAGGTCAGCAGACCAGATGCTTTTATTGGTTCCAGGCATTTGTTTTAAGCTCAGAGGTGACAGGGCCTTCTCTGTTGCAGGTCCAAAATTGTGGAATGACTTACCACTGCATGTCAGGCAGGTTCCCTCTCTCTCTGTTTTGAAGTCTAGTTTAAAAGCTCACTTTTGTTCCCTGTGCTGTGTTCTTTGCTTGCTAGTTTTTGCTGTACCACACTTTGGTTGACCTTGTTGCCGTTTTTTAGTGCTTTATAAATAAAGTGATATGGTATGATATGATATGATATGATATATGATATGATATGATATGATATGGTATGGTATTATATGATATAATGTATGATATGATATTTGATATGGTATGGTATATTGATTTTGCACAAACTGATGCAGGAATGGCAACGAACTTACAGTATATGTTTCAGCACAACATTCCAAATAGAAATTTATTTTCTTTTGCTCTTCTTCTAACTGGGCTTTTATGGTTGTTTGCTCTTCTTTTCACCTCCTGTATGCTGCAAAGACCTTTGTTCTGTGAATGAAATCATGAAAAATAACATCCTTTTTTAACAATTTTCTGATCTATCCGCACAATCGATATGTATCTTTCTAGCTGACGTGAACTTTTGTCCTGTGTGTGTCTCCAGCCACAGTCGTCCTGACAGGACTGGAGCCCAACACGACGTACGAGGTTCGAGTGGCAGCTGTCAACGGAAAGGGTCAGGGAGAGTTCAGCCACATGGAGACCTTCCAGACTTTACCCATCCGTAAGTCAGTCTCCAATATACTTCCAACTAGATTTATGGCACATACTTCAAAATAAGAACCCAACTTGGATCCTTCATACGCATTTATGAAATGAAAGTCAGTCATTATGACTTTAATCTATCACTCTAATGGTTTTATAGTCTTTGGACTGCGTTAACTGTTAGTTATTGGCACATCCTCTCAGTTAACAGATGGGTTTCAGCAAGCCAAAGAAATGTCATGTATTTTAGACAGCAGAAATGTGTTTAATGTTTGGGTTTTAATTTAATAAAAACATGCAAAATTGTGATAGAAAAGCATACAAATGTACTACGGCCTCCAAAATCTATTCAAAGCCTCAGCAGCTCTGTGGAATGAGGCCCATTTGCCATATTAGACAACCCTGGCATATTTACACTGGAGATAGCTGCAATCTTTTCCAGCTTCCGTGATGTGAATTTAGATTATCAGGGCTTGGAATAGATTCTGTCAAAATCTTGTTTTCATGTAAAACCAGTGCATTAAAAATTATGTGCTGCAGGGGGTTCATGATAGGCATTTTACTTATTCGCGCAGGACTGCAGAAACTCCAGTCAAGGCCATGGAAAATAGTGTTGCCATTATCCGTTATGTAGCCTAAATGTTTCATAAAATTAAAAAAAATACAGCAAATGGTAAAAAAAAAGAAGTTGACGATCATTAAAATCAGGCAGTATCTTGGGTTATACATTTGATTTGGTCTAAAAACTTCTCTCGCCTTGAATTTATTTTTATCTCCCATGTTGCAGTCTGCTCCACTCTTTTGGGAATTCCATGTTCTTTTTGCAGAATAAAACACAAACATAGTGTTTTCAGACTTTTGCTGATGCCTCTTCCTCGTTTCACCCTCAGGAGAGCCGAGTCCACCAGCAGTCCATGGGCAGAGAGGGGTGGGTAAGGCCTACCGGCTGGGACTGGTCAAGCAGGACGATGGAGGGATGCCCATCGTGGAGTACATAGTCAAGTACAAGACTGTGAGTACTTTTATTTATTTTTTTAAGAATCATATGCTTATTTTCCATCTATCCATTATCTTTACCCGCTTTCTGTCATGGCTGTCAATGTGCTAGCAGAGGGGGACACCCTGGACAGGTCTCCAGTCCATTACACGGACACATAGAGACAAACAAGACACACAACCATTCACTCTCTCACTATCACCTAGGGACATTTTAGAGTTACCAATCAGACTAACATGCATGTTTTTGGTCGGTGGGAGGAAACCGGAGGACCTGGATAAAACCCATGCACGCATTGAGAGAACATGCAAACTCCACCCAGAATGCCCCCACCCCCCTAATGCTTATTTCCATTTCCAAAAACATTGAAACCAGACATGTCAAGGTATGGTTGTAAGTGACAAGTTTATTGTATTTTAGTAATACATTTTGGGACTGTTCAAATTCTTTGATAAGTTGCATTTAAGAAGGATGACTTTCAAAGCACTGTGGCTCAGTTGGTAAAGCTGTTGCACCTCAGTGACTAAGGTTGCTGGTTCAAATCCTGGCCCGGGACCTTTCTGGGAGGAGTTTTGTTCATTCAACCTTTATTTAGACAGGTTAATCCCACTGATCCTCGAGAGCTCACTTACAAGAGAGACCTCTCCGTGCATGTGTGGGTTTTCTCCAGGTACAGTAGTTCGGTTTCCTCCCACAGACTAAAAACATGTATGTTAGACTGATTGATAACTAACTTTACGATCAAAAGAGCCATTTCTGCCCCTTTGTTCACTAAATTAAACGTGTCCAGAGCCACAATACTTGCTACAACTGGGATTCTCCACTGGTGACCCACGGACCACTTTAAGTTTGTTGGAGGGCACTTTTCTGGACAGCAGGGGTGATTTTATAAAACTAAAAATATCTAATGATTTTTAACATTTATTGATATTTTTACACTCTAAGACAAAATAAATGACAAGATTCTTGTAAAGACGGAAAAAAAATACACTAATTTCTAAACTATTGAGTGCACCTGAATATAAGCTCAATTTAAAAAGAAAAAAAAATGTGTACATATATAGGCCACACTTGTCTATAAACTGCGGGTGTCTACGTTGTAACATGAGATATTTACACTGAAAGATTGTTTTAAACATAATTAAATATGTACCGCAACATATACAAATACGTACAGTAAATGTTTAATTTCCAGAACAGTATCTGTAACACGGCTGGTTAAAAAAAATAAAATGCATTAGCCCTTTTCGGTAATTTCATTGGTCGGATTTTTTAACAAACTTTATTTATACATGTAGTCTCAATGAGCCATGAGGACCCACCCCACAAGAGAGATGTGTACTGGACAGATATGTGAGGGCCCTGGTGTGATGAGGCTACATGTTTTGGCAGCATGAAGCTCGTTAGCCCGTCAAAAAACAAAAACAATCCATGAATTAGCCGCAGCACTGCATAAGCCGCTAGGTTCAAAGCATGTGAAAAAAGGAGTGGCTTATAGGCCGGAACTTACGGTAGTTTTTGCCCCCAGAGCCGCAAGTTGCAGACCCCTGCTCTAAATCGTCCCTAGGTGTGAGTGAGAGAGTGAATGGTTGTTTGTCTTGTTTGTCTCTATGTGTCCCTGTGATGGACTGGAGACCTATCCAGGGTGTTCCCTGTCTCTTGCACAGTGATAGCTGGACATGGGCACCAGTGATCCGGAAAGGAAGAAGCTGGTAAAGATGATAGATGGTTGGACGGATGGACTTTCAAAGCAATTATTGCAAGACTCCTTTTACAAGGAAGAAGTTTTAAAAGTTTGTCCATGACAAGAAGTTTTAGTTTATATTTGAGAAAGACAGTGATTCAGAGAGATTCATTAGTTTTTGTAAAGTTAAGTGGCCGTGACAGCTGTGCAGTGAGTTTCACAGGAATTATATAAAACTATCTTGTGAAAATTACAATTCTCACTGTTTAAAAAAAAAAAAAAAGTGCTGTCCAATTTTCTCTAGAAATTACTGCAGAGATGGTTTGACGCCACCCTTCTCCGTTCTCGCTAATGCTGAGGTTGGAACATTTTTTCTCCACATTTAGTCACCATCCTTTGCAGATTGGGACATAGTTAGACAAGAAATCCCACCGCTGTCAGAATATCTTAGAGTTTCTAAACGAAGTCTGAACAAGAAGGAGGATAGAAAAGCGAGCAGTGGCTGGAATAAAGAGACAGTAGACATAGTTTAGTCTGTAAGTTTGGATTTTAAAGAAATCGCTTTATGGGTAGTAAAGCTCTGTGTCGTCTTCAAGGATGAGACCCAAACAGCTAAAAGTTACCTTTATCTTAAACAAGGGCAAAGGTCACCAGTTTCTAACTAAACATCAAAGTTCATGCTCAATAATCCAGGTTAAAAAAATAAATAAATAAAAAGTTCAGTCTGGTCATCAGGATGATTTTTTTTTTTTTTTTTTTTGAGACAAGTTGTCCTTCATCCAAAGGACTTCATCAGTCCAAGGATCCACAACAAACTCAGTCCCACAAGCAGCACACTCCCATATTGGATCAACCAGTTTGCTGGTGATAAAATGGTTTCTAGGGCCCGCGCTCTCCCCGTCGACTCCTCGGAGGCAGCCATAGCCAAAGTAGTTCAAAACATCAAAGTTCATGCTCAATAATCCAGGTAGAAAATCCAACAAAGTTCAGTCAGGTCATCTGGACTGTTTATTTTATGTTTTTTGTTGAGACGTTTCGTCCTTCATCCAAAGGAAACCATCTTATCACCAGCAAACTGGTTGGTCCACTATGTGAGCATGCTGCTTGTGGGACTGAGCCTTGTTTGAGACTCCTCTGACTGATGAAGTCCTTTGGATGAAAGACGAAACGTCCCAACAAAAAAAGAAACCATCCAGAGGACCTGACTGCACTTTGTTGGGAGTCTCTAACTAAACTTCAGTTGCTTTTACTAAAATGTAACAATGAATAGCTATTTATCTGTCTAGTAAACGTATTTAAAAAAACATTCAACGTTTTAATTAATTTTTAAATCACTGAACTGCAATGGTGAAGGTCAGACCTTTGGTTTTCACCTGTTGAGCATTCTAAGTGAATCTTAAGGTGGTATTGTGGTCAATAAACCATATGTTTCGGACTATAAGGCGCACTTAAAATTAGGGGTGCACCGATAAATCGACCAGAAGATTTATCTGCCCCAATTTCCTTAATTTGGGGAAATTAGAAATTGGACGATACTTGCATGAAAAAAACGATTTTACCGATTTTACCGATTTTTTTTTTTTTGTTTTGTTTTTGTAGTTTTAACAACAATTGTCTGAATTTAATTTATATTTCAGAGCACTACCTCATGGCCAGTTAAAACAAGTTTGTATTGTTTCTAGGATATTGTTCAAGGGTATGTTTTTCAATAAAATAAGATTGGAACATTGAAGGTGCATTGTGACCTTATTACACCTGACAAAAAACGAAATCAGTATCAGCCAAAATCAGAATCGGCAGTTCAGACTTTTTAAGAGATCGGTGATCGGCCAGAAGACTGCAAACGGTGCACCCCTACTTAAAATCCTTTAATTTTCTCAAAAATCGACAATGAATTTTATGTATTAATTCTGGTTGTGCTGACTGACCTCGAACCGATTTTATGTGGTACGTGGCGCTCAAAAATCTGTCAAAATGAACTTGTTTCGCTGAATGCTCCTTATAATCCGATGAAAAATCCGGTACTAATTTAAAACTACCATCATTAATTATAGAAGATGTTTGTGTCTAATGTCGGCAGGTATTGAAGCCATTTCTTTGGCTTTTTTACAGTTGGTTTCAAGACAAGCCCAAACCATGATCAGCCATACCTGTGCTTCCCCACACAACTTTACTAAATTTAAATGGAAAGCACATCCATCCATTATCGTTTACCCGCTTCTTCCATTTTGGGTCATGGGGGTCACCAGTGCTCATGTCCATCAATCACTGTGCGAGGGGCGAAGTACACCCTGGACGGGTCGCAAGTCCGTCACAGGGACACATAGAGACAAACAACCATTGACTCTCTCACTCACACCTAGGGACAATTTAGAGTTACCAATCAGCCTAACGTGCATGTTTTTGGTCTGTGGGAGGAAACCGGAGTACCCGGAGAAAACCCACGCATGCACGGAGAGATCATGTAAACTCCACCCAGAAAGGCCCCCGGACCAGGATTTGAACCAGCAACCTTCACGCTGAGAGGCAGCAACTCTTCCAGTTGTGCCACCATGCTGCCCTGGAAAGCACGTATAAAAAAAATATACACTTGTTTAGATTTTCATGTGCAGGATTTGAAGATGAAATTTTGAAACGAGAATGTGGAAAAGGCTCTAACTCCTCTAGACAGATTTTACTTTAGTCTAATTTATTGTCTAACATAATTAATATTATTAAGACACATTTCAATAATCTTTACATAATTAATATTATTGAAATGTGTCTTAATCTGTAGCTGTACAGTTAGAGACATTTTTTTTTAATAAAACTGTGCTGAAAAGTTATTAATCTGTCATATGTGGCCCAGATTTTGGGCTGCAGGATAAAAGGCTAATGAAAGTTGTCCATGCTTTAGGGCAATGGTTCTCAAACTAGGGTACCTAGACCCCTGGGTGTCTGCAAGACGGTGCTTGAGGGTCCACAAAAAAGGGAAAAATATAATGATGATTTTTCCACAAACATGTAGATGTTTAACAACCTGTTAAAATACACCAAAGTGCAGGAAATCACATCTACTTTATTCAAAAATTTCTGGAGAAGGATCCCCAGAGCCCTGCTGGCCCACCCACTATTTGCGTTCCGGCATCGATCCTTTTATAAATTAATCCCTGTTACTTGGTTTCACTACTGCTGTTATGATTCTGTTCAGTTTTATGTAAAGAGTTTTCTGTAATATTTTGAAGAAGTGGCGATACATTTATGTTCATTATGTGATTAGATAAAGTTCTAAAGTGGTTTTTGATACTGTTAATTTTCTCAAAACTATAATTTTTGGAAGTTGAAATTTAAAAACTTTGTTAATTACTGGTATGTGCGTCTTAAATGAAAAATACCCCATGTTTAAAAGTACAAAAATTGTATTAATACTGTTAATGAGCAGGTCTTAGGTACCATATTTTCTGGACTTCAAGTCACACTTTTTTTCATAGTTTGGCCAGACGTATAGTCCGAAGTGACTTGTATACGCTTTTTTTCCCTATTTATGATGCAATTTTTGACTGACGCATTAAATGTTCATTCATACTGAGGAACCAGTGTAAAGATTACCATTTGCAGTCACAAGAGGGCCCTCTAGGCTTTTGATAACTATCGTATTTTCCGCCGTACACGTTGCACTGCTCTATAAGTCGCATCAGTCCAAATATGTTTAATAAAGTGGAAAAATCTATAAATATGTTTCTTGGCCATATACTGTACGTCGCATCTATTATGCGGCACCGCTGACAACCCGGAAATGTAGACCGGTGTTGTGCCAAAAATCGATGGGCTGCCAAATAGCGGCCGCGGGACCACACATGGGAAGACTTTAACAAGTATTTAACAAGATTAACACTTAAAAACAATTATTTGTTTGCTCAAAATTATAGTAAATGTGTGTCTCAGTTCAACTTATCCTTAATAAATGCACTTTTACGATCAAATCAGCTGAATTTCAAAAATAGTTTTGCTGCTGAGGTGCTCCAGGAGCGCACAGAGGGAGGAAATCAGGAAGTAGGAACGCTGCTCGTTTCTTCGAAACTCAACAATAAAAAAGCACCTAAAGAATTTTTTTGTTTGTTTGAAATTATAGCAAAGGTGTGTCTCAGTCTGTTTGTTTAATAAATGCACTTTAATGCCTTACTACTACTACTACTCTGCTGCCATCAAGTGGCTGAAAGTGGTACTGCTCAATTTTTTTTCAGTCAGAATGAATGGGAACGGTCATATCTCAGGCAAAAATTGTTTTATAAATATGGTGGAAAATCCATAAATATGTTGCTTCGGCCTATAAGTCGCAGGGCATGTAAATTATGCAAAAAGCTGCGACTTATAGTCCGAAAAATACAGTATATGTTGTTCCTCTACCACAATACTCCCCCATCTCCAAACATTCACTTAGATACAACTGAGAAAAACTTAACACAAGTAAAATGCCCCCAAATGTGATGTGGAATGAGATTAGTGAATTTACCAGTAACTTGCTTGTCGGACTCGTTGGCTTGTTATGTTAATTAAGCCTGTTCAGGATCCCAGGCATGTTCTGTGTGTTATTGTTATTTTAGATTAAATGTCTGTTCTTGCACTTTGTATAGTACACTTCCAAATAAATGTGACTTATACTCCGAAGTGACTTATACATTGGTTTTTCCACTTCATGAGGTGTTTTTCAACTGATGCGACCTATACTCCGGAGCGATTTATAGTATGGAAAATTCTGTGTTTATGTTACACAAATATTTCCATTGCATTAAAGAGACAAATTGAAGAACGTTGTTTAATAAACATGAGGGTTATGAGGGGGTCCCTTAAACTTTTTCTCTCCTGTCAGGGGACCCTGAACCCATAAAGTTTGTGAACCCCTGGTTTAGGGAGAGTAGAGTCTGAACATAAAAACAGTCTGACACCATCTGCCCCATCATGGGAGGTGAAAATTTCATCCATCGTGTTGAAAATAAATGAATCAATCAACACGACTACATTTCCGTTAAATGTACAAAACGCCATTCTGTTTGCAGGAGGCTCTTTCTTACATTTTCAAGTTTGCCTTTTTCCTCCCACATGAGGAAATACGTGAAACTGATAGTTTTCTTTGTGTTCGACACAATCGCTGCACAGTGTGCTACACTGGGAATGCTTTTTCCTCCCAGTGGAGGAGCGAGCGTGACTCACTAGATTGATTTGTTGCCGGCGACTGAGTTGAGTCGGTGCGTTGGTGGCTAAATGAATAATGTTGTGCTAGCGGATATCTGTTTTTCAAACCATGCTCCACTCCGAATTTTAATAAGTGCGCAAACAAGCACTCAGAATTCATCCATGTATATTTTTTTAATGTGTAAAAAGGACAAGAAAAGGAAAAGGGCTGAGACGAGGCCAAAGAGCAGAGAACTGTGAATGACACTCGCACAAAGGATAGAGTGGATTTCAGCTCCGTCTAATGTGTCCAAGCAGGCCTCTCTCTGTTTTGAAGACAAAAGTGGACGTAATTTAAAATACAACTGCCACAAATGGAGGGCATGCTGCTGAAAAGAGAGTCAGGAGGTCAGCTTATGGAGACAAAGCAGGATGCCAGAACAGGAGAAAAGTGCTTCACAACCCAGTAATCTTCGGCATCAGGAACACATAACTGCTTTGTGGATGAGTGAGCACGACAGGGGTTTCATGCGAGCACAAACATCGTAGTCATGCACCCTTCAATCTGGACCTTTATTTTGTAAAAGACTACTTTTTGCTGGTACTCTTAAGTGTGGCGGGAAATGGTGCCAGTACATTTGGCTTTCTTTCAGTGTTCGGCTCCCAGCTCGACTCTTCAGTTTCCAACCCTTTGTTTCCAGATGACTGAAGGAGCGGAGAGTCAAAAAGGAGCAGAACTTAATGAAAAACTGTTATTTTTACCTATGCAAGTGGATTTAGAATCCCTGGAATAAGAACCCCAAAATGTTTTTTTTAACTCGACCTTTATTTATACAGGTTAGTCTCATTAAGCCACATTTACAAGATAGACCTGATTTTAACAAAGAACACAGATGAGGTACAAACAACAATAGGACAATCATAAAAAGCATAAACAATGAAAAGTAAATGGAAGAAATTTGATTACAAATTAAATTAAAAACAGCTACATTATAAAGCAATGTAAAATACTAAAAACAGGAACATGCCTGCGTTGGTTTTTGCCATGAACTTAGCAGTTGTTTAAAGTCCCTTAGAGAGGTCAAGGTTGAGAGCTTCAGATCTTTTTGCCAAGTGTTCCAGGAAACCGGAGCGGAGTAAGAGAAGGCTCTTTTACCTAATTTGGTCCATACTGTGGGTACACTGCAAGTAATCATGTCCTAAGAGCACACACTGTACTGTAGCTGTACTGACCAAGTGACATATAGGAGGAGATATATGAAGGCAACAGACCAAGAAGTGATGAAAATGTACCAGTATGAGCGTCTGCATGAAGTTAATGATGACCAGTTAACCAGTGAATACAAGGTGCAGTGATGGATATGGTAGTTACAGCCAGTTATGAATCTTAGTGCACCATGACAGATGGCATCCAACATCTGAAAGGTGCTTGCAGGAGCATTCATGTACAAAAATAATGTTGCCGTAGTTAATGGAGGGAAGGAAAGTAGCAGTTATGAGGTGTTTCCTAACATTCAGAGTTAGACATGATTTATTTCTGAAAAAGAAACCCAGTTTTAAGTTCAGTTTCTTTACAATATTTTCGACATGAGGCTTAAAAGAGAGATGCGAATCGACCAAGATACCCAAGTAAAAGGGACACCATTTCAAGATAAAATAGAAGGAAGGACTGCTGGGACCAACTTCCTGTTTGAAAACAACATCCCTTTGGTTTTATCAGCATTTAACACTAGTTTGAGATGGAACAAATCTGACTGGATGATGTCGAATGCAGACTGTAAAAGCTGGAAAACCTTAGCAACTGCTCTAGCTCGACAATAAACAACCGTGTCATCGGCATATACATGTAAGGATGCATCAGGAATGAACTGACCTACATTACTTACGTAGATTGTGAAGTGGGTGGGTCCTAAGGCTGAACCTTGTGGTACACCGTTGCTAACAGTTAGATAGCTGGAAGAAGTACCATTAATGAATTCATGAATTAAGTACCATTAATGAATCGCTATCATCTCTGACTTATGTTGATGCTCACATACAAAAAGGAAACTAAACGATTGTTTTTCTTCTAAATCATTTTTGGTTTTTTTCACCAAGGACAAAGAGGAACAGTGGATGACCAAGCTGGTTCCGGGAGCATTTGATTTTGCGATGCTGCAGCCTCTGCAGTGGAACACGAGATACGAGGTGGAAATCACAGCGCGCAACGTCAAGGGCCTATCGGAGCCCACCTTCTATCAGTTCTTCATGCCACAGAAGCCTGACATTACAGGTAAAAGCATGATAAACAGAATTTTGTGTTTGCTTTTTTATTTTTTTCAAAAGATCATTTTCTTGCTTAAGGTGGTACTGAATGCCTTTAGAAAGTCTGAAGGGATTTTTGGAGACATCTTGTGTTAAGCAATGTGTTATTCATTCCACTGAAAGCAAGTGATAGCATTGGTGATGACAAAAGTAAAACCAAGATGTTCCAGGTGACTGAAAGAAAACCTTACGTCTCAGCGGGCCTCTTTGCTGTTCTTTTGTGCTCAGGTGAGACTGCTGTCACCGTTCTAAGGATTTCTCTTTTCTTCCTCCAGAGAGAAACTCTTTGCTTGAAATTAGCTTTTAAAAATTGTCCTAAAACATTCTTCACCATGCACTTGAAAGCTCAGTTTTAACTGCAGCAAAGAGCATAATGTTCATCTGTTTGTGTGAATGTTAGTGAAACCTTCACACTATTATGATCCATTTTCCTTCCATACATTTCTCAGCGTGATTCTAGTCCCACAGTTTTCAAGCTATTTCAACAAATCATATATCACAATGTTCAGCTCTTTCAGGACCATCCTGCTATGACTTTTGGTATTGATGCACCTTTAGCTTTTTGAAATAGTTAGCCTTTTCTGCCATTTTATTTATCATAAAAAATGATTTGAGCTCATTTTACATCCTTCAGATATTTACAGCTATTTACAACCTTTTACTTATGCTTTCAAATTTTGTTCTGCTTCAGCTTCTTTCAGCGTCCTTGTGCAAATTTAAACATTTTACAGCTACTTTCAGCTGTTTTGTGCTCCTTTCAGATTCTTTCTGCTAATTTTAGCTTATTGTTGCAAGTTTCTGCCTTTTCTACTATTTCAGCTACTATATAGCTGTTTTGGGCTAATTTAAGCTTTTTCAGCTAATAACAGATTTTTTGCACTCAAACTTTTTTCAGCCTAATTCAGCAAAAATGTGCGCTCTCCACTTCGTTCTTGTAATTTTAGCTTCTTTCTGCCATATTTTTAGCTACTTTCAGCAATTTTTTGCTGATATCAACATTTTTCAGATAATTGCTACTTTTTTCTTGTCATTTCTGCATCTTTCAGCTTATTTAGGCAAATGTGTTTTTTTTTTCTGCTTGCTTAGGCTAATTTACGCTTGTTCTACCTTTGCTGCTACTTTTTGGCTAATTTTAGCTTTTTTCCGATAATTTCCACTTTTTTGTGCTCATTTCTGTTTCTTACATGTTCTTTCTGATTTCTAATGCTAATTTGTTTGTTCTACTTTTCCACTGTTTTCAGCTACTTTTTAAGCATGATTTTTGTTTGTTAATTTCATCTGTTTTCATATAAATTCAAGTTTTTCATGGTAATTTCTGCTACGTTCAGCCTAATTAACTTATTTCTACTAATTTCAGCTTGTAATGTTCCTTTCTGCTTTTTTGTGCTCATTTTATATTTTTCTGCTTTTCAGCTATACTTTTTAGCTGTTTTGTGCTAAATTTTTCAGCTAATTCCATTTTTTTGTTCATTTCAGTCCTTCAACTTTCTTCTAGTAGTTTAAGCTTCTTTTTACATTTTCAGCTACTTTTCATCAATATTTATTTTCTAATTTCAGCCTTTTTTTAGCTAATTTCCTAATTTTTGTGCTAATTTCTGCTTATTTTAACCTAATTCAGCAAATATATGTTCTTTCTGCTTTCTTCTGCTAACTTAGGCTTGTTCATCCTTTTTTTCAGCTACATTTCAGCATGTTTTTAACTCATTTCATCTTTTTTCAGTAAGTTCTTAACAATAAACATTCACACTGTAGTTTCTCTAGTTTATTTTTATTTCTTACCCATTTATCTGGAAAAATTGTCATAAAAAAAACATAAGAGAAGTGTACACAAACTGACAGCAGCACAATTAAATGAGTTCACAGTCAACAGTTTGAGTTAGAAGCACATTACAAGAAAAAAAATTAGCAGCTTACTTGTCTCACCTTTTATATGCGTGCTGCATTTTACTGTGTGAACCAATATTATACCATTGTATATATAATATATAATTCTGTATATAAAGTACCATTGTCAGTTTAGCTGGTTTTATTTAAAAGTTTAGAGCCTATTTCTTTCATTTGTGGGAAATTAACACGTGGTTAAAGTTTGAACGAGGTATATTATACACACCTCCCAATATTGAAGTAAATCAAACCACAGTATCATCTGCATAAAATGTCAAAGTGTATTAAATCAAAAACCAAGTACTGAAGACCAACTCTAAAGTTTTATTAATATTCAAATCAAAGTTACAAATGTATCCCAAGTATTTCAATTCAATAGAAGTGATGTTCATCTGGAGTATATATTTAAGCTTTAAACAGTTTGTTTACAGGTAAAATGGCAGTAGTTTGTCAGGTGCCTTTTAGTTACGAGTTTGCTTTGTTGCCTCTGGGTACAACACAGCAGGGTCTTATTAAAGCTTCTGGTGGATCGCTCTGTATTTCTCTGCAGTTTTATTTTGATAAAGTTCATTAATGTTATATTACTTAAAATGGAATTTTTTTCTTAATATACTCCACACATTGCTTTTCCAGTTACTTCAACTAAATACCTAAACATTCAGATCTTGTTTAAAACTCCACACTCTGTATCTGTTATGGTTTTTACCATGCGTTGACATGATTGTAATGCTTAAAGCTCTGATAAACTCTTACCAGGGGAGTGACTCACCTTCAAAATAAAAGCACTACAAGTGCCAGTTTTTAAATAAAATCAGAGTTTTTGGACATGCATGCAGACTTGTTTATATTTATTATCTGATTTTCCAGTTGATGGGCTGGGAAATGTCCAAGTCTAGTCTGTACAGATTGATGTGGGTCTTATTTGGCTTTTTTTTTTGTCCAGTTGTTAAACAGAAGTGGGATTTTACCAGAACTCAGCTGTATATATTACATGTTTATCTTTTTTTTTTTTTTTTACAAATTATATTGTTTAATTATTAACAAAACACAGTTTGTTCTGCAAAAGGAAGATCTGTGTGATTTCAGATAAATAAAATTACCGTATTCTTCGGACTATAAGGCGCACTTAAAATCTTTTAATTTTCTCAAAAATTGACAGTGAGCCTTATAATCTGGTGCGCCTTATAGTCCAAAAAATACGGCATTTCAAGGATGACAGAGAAACTAAAAACATGCTTCAGTGTTGTAAAGTTAGAATAACAAGGTTCAAGGTACTTTGTCATCTGCATCACATGTGGTACATGAAGTGAAATGGAATTGAGTACTCAAGGTCCCAGTTACATCCAACAAAGAAAGAAGTATAAAAAAATAAACAGTATACAAGGATCTAAGATATACGCTAAACAATAATAATATAATATACAGTGTATTAAACAGCAGCCTGAACATGAGTCTGTAGTGAGCAGATGGGTATGAATATAGTAGCTTATAGGTAAGAAATTGGCAGCATTGATAATCAGCAGCCCAGATGAATTGCTAACAAAGATGCCATTTTTGGTGCCCCGTGACAGTCCCCATCAAAGTTTCTCAAATAAATTTCTAGTTTTAGCTGCTGCTCTTTGGTCCACCAATCTCAAGGTTCAAGGTTCTTTATTGTCGTTCGTATCACAAGTGGTACACGAGGTGGAACAAAATTGTGCAGTCAAGGTCCCAGTTACATCCAACAATAGCAACAATATATAAAGTATAAAAATAAAGACTATACAAGGCTCTAAGATATACGCTAAATACTAATAATGTAATATAATACAGTGTATTAAACAGCAGCCTGAACATGAGTCTGTTGTGAGTAGAGTTGCATTTGGGCCCAAAAAAATCCAACCGGCCCCAGCCCATAGCCATCATTTCCGAACCCCACCTGACCCGACGAATTAATAGTAATTACAGGTCCACCCCCCCCCCCCCCCCAACATTTGTAATTAAGCTTTGACTGCTTATATAGTTATTAACAGTTGGCGGACACATGCAGCTGATTTAAAGGAGGCAGAAGATCGGAGCTGAGGGGGTGTTTGTCCTTTCATGGCCGTCAAAGTGCATTAAATCCCTGCTTCTACCTACATTCTGCATTATTCAGACACGGACCCTGCTCTGACATGTCGGATATTTTGGGATCTCACCTGTTTAGGTCGTCGGCCGCGCGCGTCCACTGAGTGCAGCTAAATCTTTTTTTAAATTACACCACCACCTTCTAAAGGAAATAACAAAGATGCCTCATTTGTTAGAATGTCTTTCTTTACTTTAACTGAACTTTTTTTTTTACCTCTTTCAAGGCCGGTCAGCACGCGGTCAAATGGCCGCATGCGGCTGGTGACAGTATGGCAAGCCATGTTGCCATATAATTTGATCGTCAGCCACGTGCGTCCGCTGACGCAGTCAAAAACCCGACACCAGCCTTGCCTGCACATCATTATGGCATGGCCCGGCCCTAATCCAGGTTGAGCCGGGCTTCAGGTTAGAAATAACAGCTCTAGTTGTGAGTAGATGGGTATGAATACAACAGCTTAAAGGCAAGAATGACAATGATAACGTGATAAAGACCACTTTTGTTGAGGTGAACCATGTTATTCTTTTATTGCTCTCACGCACTACACATCATAGCCCTCACATTTGGGTGTAACTGGGACCTTGAGTACACAATTTTGTTCCATCCCATGTACCACATGTGACGCGAATGACAATAAAGAACCTTGAACTCGAACATTTACATTTAATTACAAAAAATACAATTAAAAAAATTACTGTTGCAGTGTTGTTCTCCTTTCTCCTCCGAGCCTGTAACCAAATCCATTTGCTGTGGTTTGGGTCGTGCGAGTGCTCACCTCTGTCGTTACTGCACCAGCTAAAGTGTGGGTTGATTCTCCACCAGAAGACAAGAGCGAGGAAATGGCAAGCTTAAGCTGGGTCACTTCGATTGGCTGTCCTCTCCTGTTAGCGAGCAGCAAGGGAACCGCTGGAAAGACGCCGGCAGAGTGCAGGGAAATGGAGGGGGAGTGTTTTTTTTTTGTTTTTTTTTTCCTGACGTTT